GAATTCCAATAGATTTTAAACGATTTTTGAAGATTTTGATTTGATTGATATTTCTAATATTTTAACAATAGGCTCCTTGCATCAAATTTTTTTATTGCTGATTTCGATAGTCCATGAAAAATAAGTCAACACGTGTTTTTTCTTTTTCTTCTTAGTCAAAAATTGACGGAGATACAACACTATGAAATCTGCCTATGACGTCACTTATCTAATAGATTAGTGACGTTGCACATGCTCAGTATATCTATATATACAAAACTTAATATTTGAATAACTTCCGGAATAATCATATTTGGGCGAAATAAAAAAAAGTAACGATTTTTTTTCGATTTCCTACAGTTTGCAATAAACAATAATCAATTTAATTTTCCATGCAAGTACCCTATTCAAAGTCTACTTTTTCAAGATACTCGTAGAAAAAATATTGTTCCTAACACTTGCGCAAAGTGTCATTCCCGCGCTCAAAGCTTATCCGAACTCCGCTTCGCGTCGTTCGTCTAACTGCTTTTTCGTGCGGGAAAGTATCACTTTGCGCACTTGTTAGGAAAATAACTATTTTGTAAGTGATTTTATAGTCAGAGCTGCTGGGCAATATGTGATTAATGATTATACCACATGCAGATGGATCAAGTCCATGCTAAAACACAGGACTATAAACTCCACTATTGCTGAAACCCCTATTAAAGTAACCGCGACAAAAGGATTCCCACAGGGCGGAGTAATTTCACCACTCTTGTGGAATCTTGTCGTGAATGAACTTCTGAGAAAACTAAACGATCAAGGCTACATCACCGTAGGCTACGCGGATGACATAGTGTCATCATCATCATGTCATTAGGGGAGGATTTACCAGGAAACCTCATTGACAAAAATGACGCCTTAGAAATCATTGAGGAATGGTCAACGAGTAAGCAACTTCGCGTCAACCCCTCCAAAACAAAACTCATTCCTTTCACGAGAAAAAGAAATCTGGAGAACTTAATCGCCCCCATCAGTTTATTCCAAAAAACCTCGGAGTTTGGCAGGGAAGCTAAATTTCTAGAGATCATCCTAGATATGAATCTGACATGGAACCAACACATCCAAAAGATAACCACCAAAAGCAAGATGACGTTGATGTCACTAAAAAGAGCGATTGGGAAAACGTGGGGACTAAAACCGTCACTTGTACAATGGATATTCACTTCAGTTGTAAGACCAAGGATAACATATGGTGCACTTGTATGGTGGCGTAAAGTAAACCAAAGACAAGCAAACCTGGAGCTAGCCAAAATCCAGAGACTTTGTATTACCGGTGCACAGGGAAGCACACCAACGGCAAGTATGTCAACCTCTGTGAGAATACACTACTCTATTCCAAGTAGAAATATATGCCATCGACTCCTGTCTGAGAGAAAACCTGAGGAGGGGATACACAGGTAAAAACATCCTTATCTGTTCAGACGGTCAAGCGGTCGATCAAAGCACTCAACAGCTTTGAAATAAAATCCAAACTTGTCTGGGAATGCCTGGAAAACCTCAAAAACCTAAGTATGGTCAACAAGGTAACCCTTAAATGGGCATCGTCCAAGAAGAACCCATATGCAGAATTTGTGACGAGGAGTATGAAACCGCCACCTACATAATCTTTGAATATGGAGGCTTTACGCTGGTGGAGATACAGATAGATAGGGCTAGAAGACCCTATCTCTAAACTCACCAAAAGTAACACGGTGAAGAGGCTCCTAAACCTAATCTAGGTCACGAAACTTTTCACTGACTAAACAGACGAATAGGCCAATACAATAAGCCAACGGCTGCAGTGGTTAGGTGGCCCTAAACCTAACCCGGCCTGTTCATTCTGCATCTGAACCAACCAACCAACCAAGGGATTGTATAACTTATATATTTACCTCGCTGTTTACTCACCTAAATCAACTCGCTGTCGGAGGCAAAACCTTTCAGGAGTGCCATGTATGTAAAATGGAAAGTTTGTAGGTACCTATTAAGCAAAATCGCAAAAAAATATTTTTACCGGAAATTTTTTTGTACCAGTGCTAAATTTCGGGGGGAGGGTTTTAACCCCCAAACCCCCCCCCCCCTTGGGTGCGCCACTGGCTATACTTAGAAGATTCGAGGCTGTAGTTACAGCATTCTAGGATATACCTAGACAGCTCCTAGGCTGTATTTAGAGAGATTCTAGGCTGGATCTAGATTGCTCTCAGTTGGGGCTTTGGTAGCCTTTCTTCAGCAACCCTCTTGGTACCACTTCAATAGAACCACGTTGAGTTCTACGTTAAACGGATACAACGTGGATAGAACTCCTAAGGAACTTACTTACCATACCATAGTCTATCTACAGTGAGACCAAACCTGTAGATAATCTCCCTTCAGGAACTTCTGGATTTACACATCATTTGAAGATAAATAACACTTCTATACATGTAAGTTGCACTTTTTACTATTTAGGCAAATCCTATATAAATCACCTGACACTGAATTACGTCAGTACGTGCCCCTTAAATAAAATTCTAGAATTTTACTCTGAGGTTGCCTTAACGATAATTTCCACCTTTCTAGTGTTAAATTTGCCTGTTGGTAGAGTGTAACCCATACTGTTCTCTTACACTGAAAAAAAAATCGTTCATAATATTGACGAATGGCAGTTGTTTTTTTTTTTTTTTCATTAATTAAAAATATTTCATCAATCCAATTAATCAGTGTTCATAGCCTAATTACTTCTTTCCTTAATGTAATGAATTTATGTTCATTATTATCATAAAACCCGTGAATTTTTATTTTCCATTGTTCGAACGAACACTTTCATCAGTATAAGGAACTTTCTTTGAAGACCACTGATTCTATCCTTGATTTTATGAATAATCGTTCATAAACCACATTCATTGTACTGATGATTATGTCTTATCCCAAAAATTTGTTCATCATACTTATGGAATTTTCTTCATTGTGTCAATGAAGTTATGCATTGAATCAATGACCAAGAGTACATTAATTAATGAATATGTTTCATCAGCTTGACGTATCTGTTAGTGATTTAATGAACGTTTAAAACTAACGACCTTTACTCATTTATTTAATGAATTTTATAGTTTTTATATAGACCTATTCGTCCTGCTAACGTATAGAATTCATTAAACACACCCGCACTGCATATTATCGACAGTATATCGTAAATTATCCGGTAATTGTATTTTGTGTTGGTGTTTAGTTCAACTCTTCTTGGGAGAAATTCAGAATTCAGGTATTCAATGAGTGGAATAACTTCTTTATTTATAGTGTACAGAAAACATTGCAGAACGTGGGATACTACCCGGGAGCCATCTATTAGCGATGGCAACCATTGACGCTGGAATCCAACATTGCTTGAAGTGTGCTGGCGCGGCGTTTGTGCGACTTCTAGACAGAGATTGTAACAATCACATCAGCGCTGAGATCAAACTTCGTGTCCACAATTCAGTTGAAATACCAACACATAAATAACTGCGAAACATGGACCACCTACAGAAAACACGTCAGATTCTTCCACGACAGATTCTCTATAGTCAGCTGAAAGATGGAAAACGGAATCATGAAGGTCAACAAAAACGCTACACAGATGTTCTAAAGGAAATTTTGGCAAAGTGACACATCGATATCAGCAACTGGGAGTCGAGGACAAATGATAGGCCCTCGTGGAGTCGAGTAGTTCACGATAGACCACAAACTTTTGAAGAACAGCGACGCAGGCACGAGACCGAAAAGAGGGAACGCAGGAAGGAGCGAGAGAACAGAGGAAGAGACAATGCTGTTAGAGACTGGGTGGGCCTAGACTGTGGGAGAGTGTGCGGCTCCAGAATTGATTTATATAGCTATCAGAACACGCACAATCGACGAAGAATAGAATAGAAGCTAATCATACTCGGTATCGAGTGATTGCCTATGATGATGATGATGATTCAACATGCCTAATAAATTTGAGGGTTTCAGTTCGGGTTAACTTGAACCGAACCCATAATATGCATATTCTTGTTCATGTAACTGAGCCTAAATAGGATAATGCATTCATACGTTAAGCCAATGAAACCGCATAGGTACATCAAATTGAAAATTCGATTCATCAAACCAATGTTTTTTGTACATTATATTGAAGAAGTTATTCCACTCAGGCAACGAAATCTATACGTCAAAATGATAGAATCCTTACTTTGCGACAATGAATTCAACCGTTAAATCAATGAACCTTTTTTTCATTTATTTAACGAACAGCTTTTCATAATATTGACAAATTCGTTCACCGGCTCAATATTAATGACGAGATTCATAAATATGTTTATTTTAATATCCATATTTTTATAAATTATTTATATTCATTTTTTTATAATCAAATATTTATAAATTGGTACAAGCCATAATCTATACACATTTTTAACAACCTCCTGGCTATCCCTATTTATTATTGTTATTATTTTTTAATAAATAAAGCCAGATACATTATTGTACCTAATTAGTTGTTTTATTGCTAAGCTCTCCAATTGCACAGGTTTTGTTTATAACATCATTAAGTAATCTTCCTAGTTAAGTCACAGTTAACTTGGTGGCGCCCAGAGATAACATGTATACGAGGAATCCATAAACCCTCGGCCTCCGAACTGATGCTGACTAGCTGTATGCAGTATAATCAGGCAATAGACCACCTAAGTCCTGACGTCACAAAGGGGTGGAGCTTGTCGAACCTTTCCAAACAAACCGATTATTAACGGTTTTCGGCAATAATTTTTAATTTCGAGTTCATTTTAGTTTCGGCTGTATTTCAGAGTTCTTGTATAGATATTTCGAAAAATTAGCTCGATATTTTGTGGAATTATTTCCTGTTGTTTTAAAGGTAAGCGTTATAATATTCTTTAAATTGTTTTAAAGTGTTGTGAGGTTATGTTTATGATTTGTTGTTTTTATAATTTTATGTTTAATAATACATACAATCTTAATAATTTTCAGGCTTTTATTATAAAAATTACCTAAAAATGACTGCAAAGCATGCTTTAAAGCTGTCGTCTATTTTTGCTTTCTTTGAAAATGATAGCAAGGCTATCAAAAAAGGAGAAAATGCACTGGAATCGAATCACGTTCAAAAGATGCAGTTTGATGCTGGTTTAATGATTATAAGGGGCCAAGTACAAGCTAGCATGAAGGATAAAGAGTATAAAGTTGAGGTAAGCTTTGTATTTTAAATAAATATGTAAGCATTTTTTAATATTAAATGATTTTTTCTCAGATAAACTTAAACAATTCAGGAGAGATTGGAACAGCAAAATGTATGTGTCCCCGTGGAATTAAGTGTCACCACATAGCAGCATTAGCACTTTTTGGACACTATAATATATCCGTGACAGATAAAGAATGTACTTGGAATGTTCCTAAGTCCAAAAGTGCTCCATTAAAAACAGCTGAAGAATTTTATCCATCAAAGCCCTTCAAAGCAGTTGAAGGAAACATGAGTGAAGAAGCCAAAAACAAACTGAGGGAACAACTAAGCACCTTTGGTAATACTGTGGGGTTCACTTGGCTCTTACAAGAGGACAACCATGGTAGACTCAATATGAACCTTCCACTCATCGAAGACATTGTTACTGGCAAGGATTTCTATGAGGCTGAGAACAAATTAGAATACTTCAAGATACAAGTTGCAATTGAAGACAATGTGATTCATGAAATCACAATGGCAACTGTGGGGCAAGTGTCTAATGAGAGGTGGTACTTGGCCCGAAAGTACAGATTAACGGCAAGCAACTTTGGTCTGATAATTTCTGCTTGTAAAAGAAACAGATACCCAGAGAGCCTTTTCAAAACCCTTTTTGGTGAGTTTCAATTTAATTTGCATTTACTTTCTAAGAGAATAATTACAATATTTATTTGTTGCATTCTAGGTAGGTATATCTGATTAAAATTTATTCTATTTCAATCAATACAATATAATTTGCATACACTTTCTAAGAGAAGGATTTTATGACAATACATATTTGTTACCTGTATTCTAGGTATATTTAGTTAAAATTGATTTTATTTCAATACAATATAATTTGCATACACTTTCTAAGAGAAGAATTCCATGACAATACATATTTGTTACCTGTATTCTAGGTATATCTAGTTAAAATTGATTTTTTCTATTTTGGTGTCATATCGAAGTCTTTTCGACACTAAAAGTAGTTTCGAAAAGAAGCTCTTTGTGACACTCCTTTTTTACTTATCGAAGGTTGGTAACACTGGCTGACTGATGCCCATCGAACTGTCATTCGCGATTTTATAATAGAAGATTTCTATATTTGGCATGTAGTGTTACCAATCTAAACATATAAAATCAGGAAATATGAGAATAAAATTTCCAAGAAAAATTTGCTTTTTTTAATTAATCTGAGAATTAAACCATACCAAAGTAGAAAAAATAGTATAAAATATTCGTTTCATAAGACATTTTATCGCACTCGCCCTTTAGAAAACTCGCATCCGGCTCGTTTTCTAATATAGGGCTCGTGCGATAAAATGACGTCTTATGAAACTTGTATTTTAATGTACTATTATTTTGATACATTAAAATTTGCATGTTCCTACTTTCTAAGAGAAGAATTGAATGTTAATTTTGATTTGTCAACTGCATTCTAGGTATATCTAATTAAAGTTTAATTTATTTCAGGATCTTACAATTTGGATGGCATAAAATCTATTCAATGGGGAAGACATCACGAAAAGGACGGATTGAATTATTTGAAGGAAAACTATCAGCTTGAAGTGAAACCAACTGGCATATGGTTGACATGTTCAGAACTTTTGGGGGCAAGTCCTGATGGCTTAGTTGGAGACGATGCCATTGTCGAAGTTAAATGTCCCTATTCTTTCAGGAATGATGTTTTGTCAGAAAAACTTAAATCTGACAAAAAATACATCATTTATTATAATGAAAATGGTGAAATGTGTTTGAACACAGAACATAACTATTATCACCAAATTCAGGGAAATTTGTCAATATTAAAAAGACAAAAATGCTACCTTGTCGTATGGACACCCAAAGAAGCAATAGTAGTGATGGTGGAATACGATCCTGCTTGGGAAATACACATAGGCATTTTGGAAAATTTTTATTTTACTCAGTATTTTCCCAAATTAATTAAAGATTAAAAATTGTATATTTTCGTTTACTTTAAGGATTTCTTAGCGACTAACAGTTTGTAACCGTGTTATAAATGGTAACTGAAAATATGATGTACTTTCAGTTACCGTATATAACACAGTTACAAAGGTTTAGTTGCTAAAAAATCCTTTTAATTTGTTTAGTATTAAATTGAAATTGTATAATATTAAAATCTGTAGATAAATAGTTTAAACTTTAAAGTGCTTAATTTATATTTAATAAAATGTAAACTTGATTATTTTTGTCTTATTTGGAAAAACCCATTTGAAAATTCCCCACCTAGAAACTAAAACTTCAACATTCGGTATTAAATATGTAGGTGAAGGTAAATAGTTTCAAGTGCTTAATTTATTTTTTAAGAAACTTAAAGTGTGTTTTTTTTAAAAGATTAAAGTCAAAATGACATTATGTTGGCAATACAATGAAAAATTGTCAATGCTTTCAAATTTTTTACGTAAAAAAGGCTTGTGTTGCCAACATAGTTACTAAATTTTTGACTTGGAGTATTATTTAAAAAAAAAAACGGACTTTAACTTTGAATGTTTTTGTTTTAACTGAAAAACTAAATTAAATAAGCAACTGAAAACTAAAAATTATTTCATATTTACCAACATAATAATAGGTCTGTTTCTGCAGAAATCACAAACCAGTCAGAGTGAATTTCAGAAACTAGTTTTCTGACTGTTTTAAACCAATGAAATTCGCTGACTGGTTTGTGATTTCTGCAGAAACAGACCTAATAATTATAATGTAAGGAAGTTTCAAATGAAAATTTTCGAAAAAGCTAATAATAAAATCTGTTTTTTTTTTTTAAGATACCTAATTCCCCAAGTCAAAAATGTAGTAACTATGTTGGCAACACAAGCCTTTTCTACATAAAAAATTTGAAAGCCTTGACAAATTTAGATTGTATTGCCAACATAATGTCATTTTGACTTTTATCTTTAAAAAAAAAACATACTTTAGGTATGTTTGCACAGCAATCACAAACCAGTCAGAGTGAATTTAATTGGTTGAAACTAGTTTTCTGACTGTTTTCATCCAATGAAATTTGCTGGGACTGGTTAGTGGTTGCTGTGCGAACAGACCTAATAAATGTGGCATTATTTTGACACTCAAGTAGGATTGGGGATATCTTGCGATTTGATAGAAAGAATAAAAAATGCTCTTTCTTTCAGAAAAAATGCAAAAAATATAATTTAATTATTTTATTATGATAACAATAATATTTAACAATAGTATTCTTCAACTTCCTTTATAAGTGGATATTGAAAATTTGTTAAAGCTGCACACAGCTGAACGATGATTGAAATTTGCGAAATGTAATGTTTTGGTACATGGTTTAAAATAGAAAACCCTTTCATTTTTCGTATGGCCCTCTCCACATGTATCCTTGCCTTGGCTATTCTTTCGGTTTCAAAAACCTGTGATTCAGTGAATTGCGGTGTGGTTAAAAATGGAGGAATATTCAAAGACACGCCCTCAGGAAGTAGGTCCTTTATTAGGAATCCCTTATCAGCTAGTATAAGGTCACCAGAAACCATTTGTTTTAAAACATCACAATGTTCAACAATGTTTTTTTCTGAACTTGACCCAGGGTATGCCTTACTCACAAAGGTAATAACACCATTAGGACTAACACCTACTAGGACTTTCCATGTGTTTCTGTGCTTATATGAACTATATGTCAACCTTTGAGTTTCCATACTAGTTGGTACTGCCGAATAAAGTTCCGTACAATCTAATATTATCCTGCAGTTTTTGAAACTTGAGAATGCAGCAGGAAGACAGGCTTGGTTTTTCTGTCTGGAAGGTATTGTTTTCATTAATTGGTTGAAAAGGACTTCATGTAAAGCATACATCCAGGTCATGATAATGTTTGTAACTGTAGCTGCACTACAACCAAAACGAAGAGCTAAATCTTCATGGGGTAAATTCAGCCGTAACTTCATCAATGTCATCAAAATTTGGTCAATTTTTGGCAATAACTTGACATTCCATCCAGCATAATACTTTACATTGAAGCTGTCCATTGTTTCATAGAGTATTAAAAATAAAGTCTTACTTGGGATTCCAGTGTACATTAAAACATGCGAATCATTATTTTTAATGTGTTCCCAACTAAAACGACTTGATAAATTCTTCAGTTTTTCCCTTGCTTCTTCCAAATCTTTTTTCAAAAAATAATTTTCGGCTTTTAAAGATGCCCCCAATGGTTTTATTGCACTTCTTGAACAAGATGGTTCATTAGTTTCAATCCTGGATTGTCCTAAAGGAGCAACATCGGGAGCATTAGAAGGTCCTGCTATCTGCTCGTCTGTTAAAAAAGTTGCAGTTGGTTCAGCAGTTTCAATACTGGATTGTTCTAAAGGGTCAACAAGAGGAGCATTAGAAGGTCCTGCTACCTGCTCGTCTGTTAAAGAAGTTACAGTCTCTACTTTGGCTTTTTTCACAGTTGGTTTACTGAAATATAAGTAATTTGTTTAATATTATGTTTTTAAATAAAAAAAAATCACATACCGTTTTTCTGGGCTAGGGAAATCCAATGTTTTTTTGACTCTAAATTCAAATATTGTTGGCCCATTTTTCCGATCCTGGTTGATGAAATGGCAGCTACATACCAGTGAATATTGGGAAGGGTCTCGATCTTTTCTCCTACAAAACGATTAAAAAACAGTTAATAACTACTGTACGAGTATAAATTGTGTTTTGTAAATGTATATTTGAACTTAACATGAGGTTCACCTTATCAAAGAAATCCATCTTCTTTTTTCATTAGGATTTGCAGGGAAAGTGAAAAACTTGCAAGTTTTCCGCTCACTGTAATGTTTACAGTCGGGTGCAAAACACATAACCATTTCGATTGGGTAGATTGGGCCTTTTTCAATCCTATACAATATGAAAATAATATTATAAATTGGAAAATTTAAATACAACAATCATAAACATAACCTCAAAACACTTTAAAACAATTTAAAAAATATTATAACGCTTACCTTTAAAACAACAGGAAATAATTCCACAAAATATCGAGCTAATTTTTCGAAATATCTGCACAACACTCTGGAACACAGCCGAAACTAAAATGAACTCGAAATTAAAATCTCTTATGGCAGAAAAGCATCAACAATCGGTTTGTTTGGAAAGGTTCGATAAGCTCCGCCCCTTGGTGACGTATGACTTAGGTGGTCCATTGCCAAATAAGTACGTTATATAATAATCATGTTTTTTTTTTTATTAAAGCATTTAAACTATTTCTGTACTTTTTGTATATTAAATTATCATTTGCATTATAATTTTTCAAAAGATTTCTTTTCAAAGTATCTCTAGTTTTTATAGACCTGATAAGGTCATTTGTAACCCACGGCTTCTTTTTGTTTATCCTTCCAAGATTATACACCCCCCGTTCAAGAGAATTTCTAAAAATATCTTTTATTATTTTTGCGAATTTATTTGTAGCCATTTCCACGTCCATGGTCTCGACCACATCCCGCCAATCCGTATTTTTTATCAAATTTCCAAATGTATTTATATTAACTCTCTCGAAAGTCTTTGCAACTACCTATACTATGTTTAGGGTGGCTTTTATTTTTGTTGTTATTATTTTCAGTGTTGAGGTTAATCAAAACATGAAAATGATCAGTAATAGCCAAATCCAATGTAAATGTATTCTCATTACACTGATTTTTAGTTCTGTTAATTGAATATAATTCTCAATATTTTTTTATTCTAAATTCTAAACTCCAAACTTTCTAATTTACTCTTCAAGTAATTGAATTGTATTGTTTATCATTTATTAATAATAGGTAATTTCTTAATGTTTCATTCTTATTTTATTGAAAGATTTTCCAACTGTTCCAGTTCAGCTTTTTAGACCATTTCAGGAAATTTCCTAGTTTAGTCTTAGTCAACTAGGTGGCGCCCATAGTAAAGGTGTACCTGGACTCATGAACCCATAGCTCTCCAAAATAATGACTGGCTGCCGTAAGCTTGTCAGCTACGTTTTGGGATTTGTTCGAAATTTACACTATAACCTAAGTTCAACTGTTTTGGAAATATTGACAGTTGAAAATTCACTTTTTTGCAAATTTGACAGGCTGTAAAACCTAAACGGTTAACTTTTGACCAAAACCGATCTTAGATTTTCACAAGTTATCATTTAACACCAACTTTGAATTTAACCGAAGATTAAATTTATTTGGAATTTCCAATCAGGCATTAAATTTAAATTTGATATCAAATATTGGTGTCAACTGATAGTTCATAAAAATCTAAGACAAAAATGTAAGACGGTTTTGCTCTAAAATTGACCTTTTAGGATTTACAGCCTGTCAAAGTTGCGAAAAAGTCAATTTTCAAATGTCAATATTTCCAAAACAGTTGAACTCAGGTATAAGGTATATTGCATGAAATCTGCTCAGAATTTTACGTAGAATTCGAATATCTAATAATATATAGGGTATTCAATTCGAAATAAGTTACTTGGAGCACGACCAGCTATTCTGAAACACCCTGTATAGGCGAAAGTGAGTATTTCAAAAAATTTAATATCAATAATTAAACTTTTATTTGGGACACTTTTTCTAAAATGTTAAATAAAAAAGATAGAGGGGGGTGACATTTATAACCAATAACCCTGTACCTACGTATTTCTTCAATGGTCTCAGTTGTGTCCTTACCCTAAGTCTTATGAAGGGAAACACCACATCGACAATATTTTTTGTTAATCTGATTTTATTGTTACTCTTAACTGGATCACTTCTCCCCCTCATAGCTGGCGCACTTATGTCAGCAATTGAGTCACTTTTATCCAAGACCAGCTGTCTCCATCATCTTAGTTTTATATTCATTTTTAACAAAATTTTGCCGATGCTAGATCTCGTGGAATGTTAGCTTCTGACGTTGCTTTGGAAGAAAAATCGGCTTTCCAAGTGACCACAGTGTCGCAGGAATCAGGATGCAAAATTTATCGACGTCCTTCTTGAATCGACTTCTTGTTTAACTACACCTAACCGCATTCTTGCCTATATCTTACGATTTATCA